GAAAGTTCCGCGGCACATGGTTGTCGTCGTTTTAAAAAAATCAAACACCTTCTGTCGGCGACTTTCCACGTTTACTTTCTCGATCAAGCTCGATCGCGGAGGTCGACAGTTAAATCATTTATGAACGCGATGTTACTCTTTCGCTGCGCGAAAAATTTACTTCAAGTCTGAGTTTCATTTTTCTTTGAGCATATCTTTTCCTATTTCGTAACTGAAATAAGTCGGAATTAATATCGTCGCGCATGTGAAATACAACTGGCATAGAGAGAACGTGCCACGACAGTATTCTTATCAGGCATTGAAATCACTGGCGTCCTGAATTGTCCGTTGGCGTATCAACACTCTCGAGACGGAGCCGAACGTGTATTTTTCATGTTCTATCAATCATAGTTTTTTTACGTGTGTTTTTTATATTGATAAAATTTTTTATATTCATAAATACGCATCCGACTAAAGTGACACCGGCTAAACATAGTAAACATAATAAATATTGTAGATGTCAGTCCCGCGGGACCGACGCCGGCTAAACTGTTAATGCGACGTCAGTCCGCAGGGACTGACACCGTCTCGAACGTGTTAATACCGCTTTAATATTACAGTATCAGTAATATGATCTATCCTTCCATCAATAATAGATACAGTGGTGAATAAAAATATTAAAGCTACTACAAGTCAACTTTTGCCAAGTAAAATTAAAACAAAAAAAAGATTGCAGAACTAGGTAGGCGAAGAAAGGAACAGAAACGAAGAATATTCAGTCGTAGAATAAAATTTTTCAATTTAAAAACTTCTTAGGGTTTCTTTTTTTTTTACAAATTTTACAAGCAGACGTTTGCAAGCTTCTCGTTCGTTATTGCATCAATTTGTCAAGAACAAACGAGAAATCCGTCGTAATTGGTGACGTTTCGGTACATTGGCTCGATAGCGGCGATCAATCGCGCACGAGTGAGCAGAAATTCTGAAAATAAGAGTCGGAGAGAAGAGGAGCGAGCAAACGGCGTATAATAGAACAGAATTCACTCTAAACCGATTATTTTCACTTCCGTGGAAAAGAAAAGGGAAAGTGCGCGTCGTTTCAGAACAAGAAACCGTAGATACGTATTTTACCAAACGTAAGACAAGAATCTTCGTACGATATTTTTGAATTACATTCAAATTATTCACAAAGCTTCCACCAAATAAATTATCTTTTCATACATGATATTTTCCGAGCCACACAAAATTGTACGTATGATCAAAGATATGAAAAAAATTTACAAAAGTAACATTTATTAATGAAGTAATAAACTTTTGCATAAGGTACAAATATGTATATAGTTATGATTTTCCAAATTTTTTTTACAACTACGTCTTTAATTTCTTTTGTAACTACGTCTTTAATTTCTTTTGTAACTACGTCTTTAATTTCTTTAATTTCTACAAAAAATTACAGCACTGTGATACAAGATGTAATAAAATATTTCATTGCTTATAAACTCACTTGATTTTCCGGAGTTACATTCCTGAATAGGTTGTAGAGTTCGTGGCATCATTGAATGAAATTTCTGGATTTTTTTATGCAACAGAATAACAGTTCACCAACACTCGCGTTCATAAGATTTATCATGAATACATTCAGATTTATTCGATGTCCACGTATCGCGACAAACTATGTGTCAGGATCGCTTGATTTCTGTCATTTCGGCGATCATCATGAAGTGCCATATCTTTCTTGAAATTTTCGCGGTTTAATCCATTGTTTATAACTCAAATATAACTGAATTTACTCGAAACATTATTCTCGATAATTTTTCGAATATTTTAGGTTATACGTACTTTACACTGAATTCTTCGATTGCGCGATTATATGACAAAATTTCGATTTTTATTATTTATTTGCACGGTACGGATTATAAAAAGCGAAAGAGATAAAGTATCAAAACGTCAAATTGATACGTGTGATTGGCGCACGTGCACTAGCTATAGTCGTCAATCAGAAATCACGTGCAAACTAGTTCGCAAAAGAACAACTTCTGAGAGTGTGACTTCCAATCTCTCGACTACGAATGGTTGATCTCTGGAAAAATGGCGGTACTCGTGAACGATCCGTGATCACGAGTGTCGACTATACACTAGACTACGATGCTAAGATGAACCAAGTAAACGATCCTAGAGTTAAGTTCTAGGTAGGAGAAGCCTACATACTTGCTTTCAGTCCTCCTCGATACCTTCTCTCTTATAACTTCAGAAAGAAAGGGAGAATATACGTGAATGTTCGTTAACTGTGTATGTATGTACGTGTGAAGATAAGTCTTCTTTAGATTCTTTCTCTTTTTTTCAAAGAAAAAATAAAGGACGAAAGATTACAATATAATAGCGAGAATTTCAAAAGCAAATATCATTCTAATTTTATCGAAAATTTAAATGTAAATTACATCAAGCTAATATTACGAGAATAGGTAAGATAAATCCACAATAATTAAAGATAATAAAATCTTTATTGGTAAAACATTAATTAAAACATTATTTAAACAATGTTTATTACTGGTCCAGAAAAGCTTTATAAAGCTTAATTTTAGTATTGTAATAAATCTAAAGTACATTAACAAGTGATTTGTAAGACCGAAGCACATATATAATTTTCGCAGTGCTCTTATTGTTTTTGTTTACTAAATTAACATACTGTATTTAAAAAACAATTAAAGATTATAAAATCTTTGTTGGCAAATTAAAACATTATTCAAACAATGTTCGTTACTGGTCCAAAAAAACTTTATAAAGTTTAATTTTAATATTGCAATAAATCTGAAATACATTGACGACAAGTGATTTGTAAAGCCAAAGCACATATAACTTTCGCAGTGCTCTTATTGTTTTTATTTACTAAATTAACATACTGTGTTATGTTACGAGACGAATCAATGTCACGAAATGAATCACTCGTTATTCATTATATTCAATATAGATAAAAAGTATCTGTACATTTAGAACATTAGTATCTGTACATTTAGAACATTGATCATACAAGAAAAAGGAATAAATTAAATTATGTTCAAACTTAAATATTGATATCAAAGATAAATTTTTATATTAAGATCAGTCTTATTTATCCCTGATCTTGTAGTGTTCAATGTTAATTCTTAAACAAAATATTTCTTAAAAAATTAATAACATCATAGTCTCTTCTTGAGATGTATCAAAGAAGACGATCTTGAAGAAAAAGAATGAAGCATATATCTTCATTGCTTTGTCAAATCAACCAATAGCGTTTCAATGTCACTTTTTCTTAGATCCAAAGCCTGAGAAACCCATTATTGCTGCCATTTCATCTGAAGGTCCACTATTATCTTCATTGATTTCTTCAATTTTTCTTTTCTTGTCTTTCCTTTTCTCTTTTCTGTACTCCTTAATTTTCTCCTCCTATAGACAATAAAAAATATGATTTGATTAAAATGTCAAATAATAAATAAAACATAATTGCACAAAGGAAATGCATAATACAAACCTCTTCCTTTAATTCTTTTACTCTCTGTTCTAAATCATAATCTTTCTTTTTTTCTTCTAATTTCTTTTTATTCATTGCAAACCGTGCTTTAACCTGTTCTAATGTAGATCTTTCTATTTTCATTGACATGCCTAAATTACGCTGATCTAAAAATATATATGTATTTAAAAAATTGATATCTAGTAAAATATATAAAATTTAAAAAAATAATAAGGACAGTATAGTTACTTACGTTTTGTGCCATTAATGTGATCTAAGAAATTAATTGAATCCTTGACAACGCAATCACAAACATTGCAATAATACCCTCCAGTTTGTGATGATGGAGTATTTTTGTTAATAACTACACTTTTCCCTAATTTAGATTCAAGATCTACTTTGTAATCTCGTTGTTTAAGCAATTCTCTTTTCACTGCTGGTTGTTTTGGGATTCCTAACTCTTCCTCAGCAATCTCATCCTGAAGACGCTGAAGTGCTATTCTTTCGTACTCCTCCCTGTTCCATTTTCTCCTATGATCATCAGGTCGCTAAAAATAAATTTATCATATTAGTTAAATAAACTAATATCAATAAAAAAATGAAAAATATATATAAACCTTGTTACAAATATACAATATTGCATTATACTTTTTTGTATACATACATATATAAAATTAAATATATTTTATTAATCACATTTACGATCTATTTTTTCTACTTTTTGAATTTACTTTTTTTTTTTTTTTTCGTTATATTGAATTTAATGTATGCATAATTAAAATATTTTCTTTGATATGAAAGTTAGGTTAGAAAATATGTCAAACGATATTTTTAATTAAAAATCGCACAAATTACTTTAGTAATAGAAGTAAATTAACTGAACAATATAAAATTTCGTACAAATTTAAATATTGTTAAAATTCTTACCATAGACATTTTCGAAATCTTTCAAATTTCTCCAAATTTCACTCAAATCTATTACGAACAGAAAAATAAGTTACTTTCCCTCTCGTTTTTCATAATAATCATACTAAGGGCACGCTCTGAATGTTCGTGAATTTAACTCTTTCCGGGATATTCCCGGCGAGGCTATTGTCCCGGTATATGTATACGACGATTATGTAGTCAGTCAAATTAACACTTTTTAATATTTGAATAAAATTTATACGTTTTTTAGACAATATCCAAAAATAATTTCAATCAGTACGACCATGGTTCCAAAAAATATGATCGCAAAAAGTTAAATATGTACATACCTATTTTATATATGTTTAAATATATGTTATATACCTATTTTCTTGAAAAAAATATTCAACAGCATTTTATTATTGTTAGATAAACCAAATATAATTAAAAAATCCTTAACTTTGAAGTATTTTTTAATAACTAACGGTATAATTATAATGAATAATTAATTTCTTATAGTACAACTATATTTTTTATAGTAAAACTATAATTTTTATACATTATAAAATTAATAGTTCATTAAATTTGTTTGAAATTAATAGTTCATGTATTTAAAATAGAAACTTAATATCTTAAACATTACTAAATTTTCTATTCATTTTTTTTATAGTTTTCGATTTTATAATTTTTTATAATTTGTTTTTTAAATATTTTATGTTTAAATATTAAATTAAATGGAATGAAAACTACATCAAAATAAAATTAAACTATTTTCCAAAATAATTTTATTTGTAAAAATAAATTTGTACAGTACTATTGTATATTATTGTTTTTATGTAGATATAACATCTTTTCAGTAATTCAACATCAATAATGAACAATTTAATGATTTTTATCGGCTAAACCCTTCTTGCTTAAATTTAAGATTTCCTTGTACAATGTGATACAATATTTCGCTTTTTAAATATTTGTTGAAAATATTATTTCATTATTTTTAAGATGACTAACAGTATGATTAAATCTATTAGTATAATCTTTTCTCAACGAAAAAAAATTCCGTTTAGAAAAAAATATTGTTCTAAAATTTTATAAATTTAACATTGATATAAAATAAACTGAGAAAAGTTCCTTTTTACAGAAATTACGTAACTATTATAAATAAGTTACGATATCGCTAAAAAAATATAAACATAAATACAAAACTTTATATTTCTATTATCACAACAATTCTTTTTCTAATAAAACTCTGAATAAAAATTACTTATAGAATTTCGCATCAGATAGATAAATATTATTTAGTGACGATCCAATCCGTAAATAATAATTATACTTGTTATTCCAATAAATCTGGTGGTACATTATCTGGTAACATAACCCCAAATCTGGTTACCATAAAAGATGCTACTTTGCAACCATATTCTAAGCAATGTTTTGGTTTCCATCGAGCTAAAACGCCGGCCAGAAAACCAGCTACCAAAGAATCACCGGCACCTGTTGTGTCTATAACAGAGCCTTTTGGCTTAATCGGTTGTACCTAAGTAAAATATGAACAAATTTTCATTCAATCCCACAATTCAAGAAATTATTTCTTTCTCTACAACATACTTGAACAGATTGACTTCTTCCCCAAACAGTAATTGCTGGAGCTGAATCACCTTGACTCATAACAAATACTCCTCCATGACGCAACCAATCTGCATTGACTGTATTAGAAATATTAACTGTAATTCTTTTTAAGCTATTCAGTAAAAATGGTATATCCGTTACATCTTCATAAGCAACATTTAATGATCGAGCCAAGGCCTCCATTTCTCTTGCATTACCAAATACAATATTTGCATATCCTATCATTTCACAAATTGCTATATGATGATCCTATAAAAATATGATATAATATTACTATTACCATCAAATACTACCACTCTAAATGTAATGATTTTATCTTTTCACTGAATTGAAAATGTTAAAATCTAAAATATGTACATTAAATATATATGTTCCATTTAGGTTGAAAGCTATAATTATATCTCTTTCTTCTGCTTGTTTAACAAGTGCTTTTACTGTAGGAAAACTGTGTGTCAAGAAAAAACCTTCAATATAAATTATTTTTATTGTATCCAATGATAAATTGCTTTTCTTAAGATCATCTAGAGTATATACACCAGCAGCTCCTATATTTGCAACAAGACTACGAGTTAACTCATTTGTTAATGCTATGCAATGTCCTGTAGATAAAGTTGGATGAACTGCATATCTGCAAAAACATACACAGTTAAAAACATATTATAAATGGAATAAAACTAAAATACAGAATTTAAAATATTTGCAAACCTGATATCCACACCTGCTGATTTAACTAGGATTTCCAACATTTTTCCTCCTGAATCATTACCAATTCCTCCACAGTATACAGTATATCGATTTTGTAAAGTTTCATCACAAAGCCATTGTAAAATTCTCATTGAATTTTGTGCTGATCCTCCAGCATTGAATCTATGTTGTGATCTATTCCACATCATTAACAATATTTAAATTCTTAATAATATAAATTTTTTTTAATAATAATAACAATAATAATAACAATAATTAGATTAGAAAAATTACATATTACATTAAAGTGACAATATTTACACTGTATATTTTTTACACAAACATATGAATTATACTTGTATTCCAATTTTAAAACGATAAGAAAAAAATAAATGTTTGTGTGAAACATATGCACTATAAGCATGTAACAATTATTAACAAATATACTTATTAACTCTAACGGTAAATCTGCCAGCAACTCTTGCATTTTTTCAGCAGGAAGTTCCATTTCTCCATCCGCAGAAAGATTATATTTTTTCAACAAATCATCATTTTTCAATGTTACATAGATATCCAACAAAGGATTACCAAAAGCTACAACTGCAGGAACATCCAACTTCGCAATAGATTCTCTCAATGGAACTTCTTCAACCATTTTTTTCCTTTTTTTACTTATAACTTCACTATATTACAAGACTATATTTGCAAGTAAATGCAAAAACGAATTATTTAACATATGACATATTTACATATGTTACAGTCATAAACATTCGACATGTACCTTATGCGTTTATATTATAAAATACAATACATAATTACATTATTGATAATTACATTGTTGTTTAAAAATATTATAAATAAATTTTTAATATTTTCTTAATATTCACTTCATATAACATCAACGTTTTTGAATATTTTTCTTATAAAAGTATTCATGTTTCTATTAACAGCATGTAATCTTGGAAAAAAAATCAATATATATATTTTATGTATTTTTGCTTTACTCGAAATCAACGTAAAGGTACTTTCCAAAATAACGTGTCAAGATAACTAACTAAACTTTTTGGTTTTTATTAAATATATAATAAAAATTTTTGTAAATACGTTTATAATTATATGTTATCTACATCTGAGAAAGAAATATATAAATTTCATATATTATTTAATCATGAATTAAATCTAAATATTTATTTAAATTCAATTTTAATATATATTATGTTGTTTATTTAAGTGGTATAATTGTGTAAATTAATGATTTTTACATAATTTATTTTTTCAAATGATTAAAAATTTTCATGAAAATAAATAGTAACAATTTATCGTACATGAGGATCAACAAGAATAATACAAGATGGAAGCGCACTTTATAATTTAAACATACATTGGAATATATACATGTGGTATACGCATATTTTCAAATAAAAATTTAATAAGGAGTTTTTTTTCTATTCTCAAGATGGTTCGTAAAAAAATAGATAATCGCATTCGTGTTTTAATTGAAAATGGTGTTATTACGGGACATAGAACAATGTTTATTGTTATTGGTAATAAAGCACGAGATCAGGTTAGTACATTAAATTTGTAAGCAATAAATACATAAGTATATGTAATTAAATTTATATTTATTTATTAGTGTTAATAAATTTAAGAAAATTTCAATTTTTTATCAGGTTGTCCTGTTACATCATATGTTATCAAAGTCCGTTGTAAGAGCGAGACCTTCTGTTCTTTGGTGCTATAAGAAAGACTTAGGTTTTAGTAGTCATAGAAAAAAACGAATGAAATCTGTGCAGAAAAAGATCAAATCAGGAAAATTGGATGTGAATGAAGATGATCCATTTGAATTATTTGTAGTTTCTACTAATATAAGATATTGTTATTATCATGAAACACATAAAATATTGGGAAATACATATGGCATGTGTGTTTTACAAGTAAGGTTTTTCATTTGTTTAAGTTAAACAAATGAAAATGATCATTTTAACAAAAGACCATTTTTTTTAGGATTTTGAAGCAATTACGCCTAATTTATTGGCAAGAACTATTGAAACCATTGAAGGAGGAGGAGTCATTGTATTTCTTTTACAATCAGTAAACTCTCTAAAACAATTATACACCATGAATATGGATGTTCATCAAAGATTTCGTACAGAAGCACATCAAGTATATCGTTCATGTTTATTTTGTTTTAATTTATAGATGCATTTGTTTAATTTGAGCAGCAAGTAATAATTTTTTAAATACTTTTTATTTATTACTTATTTTCTATTTCTAGGATGTTGTTGGTCGATTTAATGAGAGATTTTTATTATCTCTAGCTTCATGCAATAGATGCTTAGTTGTTGATGATCATTTAAATGTATTGCCATTATCATCACACAACTTAAAGATTGAACCTGCGCAAAAGCTAACTTCTTCTGAAAAATTATCAGAATTAAATGTATTGAAAGAAAGTTTAAAAGATACACAACCAGTTTCGTCTCTTGTTAATTGTAGCAAAACTATTGATCAGGTACACATAAAATAAATTAATATTTCATAACTTCAGTACATATTAATAACAGTACATATTAATAATATTATATAAATATAATATTTTTAGGCAAAAGCACTTCTCAAATTTATTGAATGCATATCAGAAAAAACATTAAGGTCCACTGTTTCCTTAACTGCAGCTAGAGGTCGAGGAAAATCTGCGGCATTAGGTTTAGCTGTTGCTGCTGCCATAGCATTTGGTTATTCAAATATTTATATTTCAAGTCCAAGTCCAGAAAATTTGAATACATTATTTGAATTTGTTTTTAAAGGTAAATATCAAAAAAAGATAATATATTTCAATATAATAAAATTTTATGTTTTTAGGATTTGACGCATTAGGATATCAAGAACATCTTGATTATGGTCTAGTACAATCTACAAACCCTGAATTTAATAAAGCTACTGTACGAGTAAATATTTTTCGAGATCACAGACAAACAATTCAGGTGCGTGTGTGTACATAATCCTTTTCATATAATAATAATTTTAGTATTAAATTTATTTATTTAGTATTAAACCTTATTAAAATAATAATTTTAGTATATTCATCCCACTGATGCTCACAAATTAAGTCAAGCTGAATTACTTGTAATTGATGAAGCTGCAGCAATTCCTCTCCCTTATGTGAAAGCTATGCTTGGTCCTTATTTAATATTTCTTGCATCGACAATTAATGGGTAATTATATTTTAATTAAAATTCCTTTTTCTAATTCCTTTTTTGTCATTGCTCAATAGTTTTACATGATATATACTTATTTTTAATAGATATGAAGGAACAGGTAGATCTTTATCATTAAAACTATTACAACAACTAAGAAGTCAAACTACAAGCTCAAATAGTCATGAGAAACAACAAAATGAAAAGATTATTATTGGAAGACAATTACATGAATTGACTTTAGAGGAATCTATTCGTTATAAACCAGGAGATCCTGTTGAACAATGGTTGTGCGATTTGTTATGTTTAAATGCTACAACAAATACACCTATATTATCTGGATGTCCACCTCCTGATATGTGCCAATTATATTACATAAATAGGTAATTAAATTTTTAATGTTTATCGCTATTTCTTTATAATACTTAATTTCATGTTATTACATTTTTTCAGAGATACCTTGTTTTCTTACCACAAAGCATCTGAATTATTTTTGCAACGATTGGTAGCTCTTTATGTCGCCTCGCACTACAAGGTAAATATTTTCTTTCATTTCTTTAAAATAATAAATCTGAAAAATTCTGAATTTTTCATGTTTCAGAATAGTCCAAATGATTTACAAATGATGTCTGATGCACCAGCGCATCATTTGTTTTGTCTTTTGGGTCCAATAGATTCAAACAAAAAAACGTTGCCTGAAGTATTAGTAGTTATTCAGGTATATGATATAATATATGTGTACTATACATATAATTTCGATATTTCTTGTAATTCTAATATGTAATTCTAATATTGTAATAATTTTAATTCTAATATGTAATTCTAATATAATGTGTAGATCTGCTTAGAAGGTGAAGTAAGTAAAAATACTATAAACGACGGACTAGTTCGAGGACGTAGAGCAGCTGGTGATCTTGTACCATGGACTATTGCACAACAATATCAAGATCAAGATTTTCCGGCGTTAGCTGGAGCACGCATTGTCCGCATCGCAACACATCCCGAATATCAGGGAGTAAGTATATATTATTATATAATAACATTAATATAATTTATATTCAATAAATAAATGTTATAGATGGGATATGGTACTAAAGCATTAGAATTATTAAAACAGTATTACGAAATGAAAATACTGAATATTAACGAAGCATCATCAGAAATATGCACAACAGAAATATCAAAAGTTCAAAATGAAGAAATAAATTTGTTAGAAGAAAGAATAGGTAACTATATTTATATGATATATTAAAAATTTTATAATTTTAATTTCCCGAACTAATTTCATATTAATTATTTTTTAGAACCTCGTCCCTCTCTTCCACCACTTCTCTTAAAACTAAGCGAAAGGCGACCAGAAAGTTTAGATTATATTGGTGTATCTTTTGGCGTTACTGAACCACTTTTAAAATTTTGGAAACGAGCTGGTTTTGTGCCAGTATATTTAAGGTTAGTATTATTTTTTATTAATATTATTATATCACACATTAAATAACAGTAAATGTTTTTTGTTCTTAATTTGTTGTTGTTAGGCAAACAACAAATGATATTACAGGTGAAAACTCGTGCATTATGTTATATAAAATAAATTCTGAACAAGATGTTACATGGCTACAAGCATACTGGAATGATTTTCGTAAACGATTTATAAATCTATTATCTTTTTCATTTAACACATATTCATCTTCATTGGCTTTAAGTATATTAATTAACAAAACGGTTACATTGGAAGTTACAAGTTAGTGCATTTCTAAGAATATATTTGTCTTGATGTTTATATTTTTTCTTATATAATTTTTTTTTTTTAGCATTGACAAAAGATATATTGGATATTTATTTTACATCTTACGACCTAAAACGTTTAGCAATGTATAGTAATAATATGGCAGATTATCATTTAATAATGGATTTATTACCATCTTTGGCACGTCTATATTTTTTAAATATGATGGGTGATACTAATTTATCAGCAGTTCAATCGGTATTTTTTATATTTATAATGTTCTTAATGTACTTCACTGAAATAATTATGTTTAAATATAATATTTTTATAATATTTATTAATGTCCTTGTTTCTAGGCAATTTTATTAGGATTAGGTTTGCAACATAAAACTGTTGATAAATTAGCAGAAGAATTAGATTTACCACCAACACAATTACTTGGTTTGTTCAATCGTACTATGCGTAAATTTGTACAGTGCCTTAACAAAATAACAGAGAATTTTATTGAAACAACCATGATGAAAATGGAAACTAATAATGAAAAAGTGCAGTTAAATCCCATTAATGGACAAAGTTTGCATGACGAGTTAGAATCTGCAGCTAAGGTTCGATCATCTTCTATTATGATATTAAATATATGATATTAAATATTTCTTAATGTAATAAAATTTATTATGATATAATTATAATTTTAGGAATTAAAAGCAAAACAAAAAGCTGAATTGGAAAAATTGAAAAGAGAAAACTTAGAACAATATGCAATCAAAGGAACAGAAGCTGATTGGAATAATGCACTTTCTGGGAAAAAAAGTAAGAATCTTATATCTGTAAAAAGTGGAGAGAAAAGAGAAGGACAAGATGATAATGTTTTGGAAATTCCAAAGAAACAATTTAAGAAAAAAAGAAGACATTAGTCAATGTAAACATAATTTATAAAATTTAATAAACAGATAATTAGATAGAAGATAATTAGAAATATGTTGTATTAATTTACTTTTATCCTATTTCACTAAACAATCCATTTTAGTTAAAAAAAGTAATTAAAAAATATCTATATTATGCATATAATTACAAAACTCTAATCAAAAAAATTATTATCTACTATATATTTTACACATTGACAAATTAAATTTCTTTCGTGTTGAATAGATTTTGAAAGTAATTTTTGTAATAATTGCGATGTGTATGATTGTTTTCTCTTAATTGTTATTTTTTGTACTTTATTCTTTGAATTTTGATTTAATTTAGGCCGTTTAGATTTAGATGTTATAGGATTTGTATTCATTAACTGTAAATTATTCTGCACAACTATTTCTTTCACTACATTACTTTCTTTTAATGTGTCATTATCCAATTTTTTTTTAAATGGTATTTCTTCGGGCGCATCGCCTATAAATAATATTATTTTATAGAAATTATATATGAAACATACATTAAATAATAACTTTTCTATTATAAATAATATAAATGTACTTACTTTCCTCGGAAGTATTTCCATAATCTGCCACTAAATTGGGTATATTACAAGTAACAATAGTAGACTTTGGTAATGTATCTGTTTCTTCTTCATCAGAAATGCAATTAATATTTTCCTCACAATCATTTTCAATTTTACCTTTAAGTTGATTTTCCACTTGCAAATCTTCATTTCTTAAGCTTACTACGAATATTATTCACACAGATGAATATGTTAATAGTATAAATATATAAATTATATAAATATATTAATTAAATGCTTACATGTCCCAGAAAATTTATATAAACCTCTATATTTCTCACTTTGTTCTATAAAGTTATTAGATATTTTAACAGTTTCTTTTTTTGTTGTCCTTTTGCGATTATTAAAACGTATGAATTTTTTTTTTCTCCGTTTAGTTGTCTCTTGCTTAATTATTTCTCCTCTTTGGATCTTTTCCATTTCTTCCGCTTTTCGCAATTCAATATTACTTTTTGTAGGATATTTTCTACAATGTAGTTAAGTATCATACAAATTATTTTTAATTATTACCATTTTTAAAAATCATTATAACTTACCTCTTTCGCTCCATTATCCACTTTTCAATCTCTTCTGGAGTTGATACATTTTTTATTTTATGGTACAAACCAGTACTATGTTGCATAGTAATGTGCTTTTCAACTAGTAGTGGATGAGCAGAGAAGGTACATCCATCAATACCACAAAGTTTGTGTTCCCTTTTATGTTCAGAAAGAGCATCCTCGGATGAAAAATCTTTATCACACATTTCACAATAAAATGATTCATTATCTTCTGAACTGGTATAATTTTCATCTCTTTGATCATATGGTTCTTCATTACTTGGATAAAGATGAGCCTAAAAATTACTTTGAATATTTTTTATACATTCAAATTCAATGCAAAAATACTTCTTGAGATATAATTATTAATGAAGATAGTAATATTTGAAATTTCATTAGTTTCTTTTGATGTTTGTTTCATACTAATTTTCACAATTTTTTACATGAGTATTTATTTAAAATTTAAGATATTATATATTTTTCAATAATGTCTTTTACTTGAGACATGTTAAATTTGTAATTTGAATAATTTGAATGATTTATAGTCACGTTATTCATATATAAAGCTAGAATAGATCCTTACAAAAATATTTTACAAATAATGTAATTTATTTCTCAATTAAAATTTCTATTTTCAATATAAAGTTTATAAACAAGATATTAAAAATTAATAAAAATTATTAATGATACGTTTAATGTTTACAAAATTATAGAAGTATTTTTTCACAATTATTTAAGCAAAGTTAATATTAAATAATAAACAAATATAAAAATTGTATTTACAAATAGTAATTATGTGTGTAATTATTGTATGCAACTATTGTTTACACATTATATTTCAAAATCTTTTCCAGGGTATTCAGAAATTCACTTATTAAGTTTATATAAGTATGTATTACAAACACACATCTCAGTTCATATTTTAAATCAATGATTAATATGGGATAAATTATACAAAAAAATATTTTATGGTTACCATGAGTATGCTGCACATAGAAAATGATGTAATTTATAAAAGATTTACATATTATAGTCCTAAAATATAAATATAAACAATCCTTCATTAAAAGTTTTAGACTTATTTTAAATTATTTTGAAGTAAAATTACATCTAATATTGTAAATCTGATAAATTGACTCATTATATGATGCTAGTTAAATAGAGTATATTTTTATTTTATATGATGGTATAAAACCCGTACCATTGATAAAAATTTTAGGAAGAAAATACTTTAATGTATAAAATCTAAAAATGTCATTTTCATATTTCAGAACGATTATTAACGTATATAAGAATTTGTTTTCGTGGTTTATAGAGTAATTGGGGAACACCAGATTTAGAACTTATAGAAATACGATTTATTCTTACAATACGCACCTTAATTACAAATTTATTTTGTTCTGAATTTATATTTCGTGGAAGTCATGTATTATTGAAATTAATAAAATGCTCAATACTACGACACATAATAACGAACAATTACAAAAATTGTTATATCTTGATACAGAGCCACAAGCTATGAAGAAAACACTTAATTTTTAGTTTATTAACTAAATCTTTTCATATATCAGAAAATATTCTAATGATCTCAAAATTTTCCATTAGGAATATTATAGCTCGCAGCACTGTATACTGGCCAAAGAGCAATTAAAGAGCTTCATGATGACACAATTAACAAAGGCCAGTTTTTTTCCATATCTTATGAAGAAAAGTTGTAGATATTTAATACCTCTAACACGAAAGTATGTAAGAAATATACAAAATTTTACATTTTTAAACATATAATACTAATGAAGTAAGAGAAAAAAACAGTTTAGTTTTTGTATAAGTATTATTAGAAACAAGAAGAAAATATTTGTTATGCAATATTAAACTCTATTTTCTCAAAGTATTGTATCATGATAGTTTAATATTACGCACTTATATATAAATGCTAAGAATGAACTTATATTGCAAAGAAATAATATTTTACAAGTGACAAAAGAACGGATAATACAAATTTTGTAATTAAAAATGATACAAGTATTTAAACTGCAGCATTTTCAACGTACTGCATATTAAAATAAGAAGGAATCAAATCGTTCTGAAGTTTGAAAACAGAATACTTGTGTAATTTCAACTGTTCAATTGTTTATAGGAGGAGTAGCCTGAAGCTTAAGACTGTGCCTGTTCGCTGGAAGGCTGGATCTCCTCCATTAGCTCCATTTGCTCTGATTGCTCAGTCGCATTCTCAGTTTTCTGAACACCCTCGGATTCGATCGTATTCTTATCACCTGTTTTTTGACCACCCTGTAATGAAAGCAATTTGTCAACTATGACAGAAATATAGTAAAATTAAATACATAGTGCCAATTAAACGTAATGGTGCAAACAATATTTAGTCTATACATAAATAACACAATAGTAATATTATTATATAAATTAAAAATTTATTATTAAACAAATGTAATTTTTCTTAAAATCTTTTTTAGAAATATATTTTTATTATGTTTTATAATTTCAAATATATTATTAATTTAAATAATAGAATTAATATAAAATGAAATAAATAAACATATAAAAAGAAAACAAAATGTATATATGTATATATACATATTATATATATATATATAATTATCATATTATAATTATATATGGTCGTAAGTTTGTAGATGACTTAAATATCTTAAAAAAATATTTATATTTATAAATTTATAAATATATAATTTTTATCTTCCATATATATAAATGATATATATAAATCATATAACAAATAAATTGAAATCTCTAATTGAAATATTCTATCAAAATCTTTAAATTTTAAAAAATGTTCTAAAATACTTACTGCAAATTGCTAAAATAAATGAAGTAGAATTTTATTTTACCTACGATATAGGATACACCAAATACAGTCTTTAATTATTATGTTAATATATTCACATATAAAGAAAAGAGATATTACAGTATAATTACAGTAGAAGAATGTACAAGTACTTGTTACTTAATTCTACAGGGTGGTCTACCTCATTGGTTTTTTCATTATAATTAAATAGCAATAATAAACAGTAAAATGTAACAATAACAAAAATATTGGTAAAACTATGAAAAAAAAATATGGTAAAAGTTAGTGTATAATACTCGTTTTGTATAATAATTACTAATTATTATTATTACGGATGTGCGAAATCGTATCAAAACTCGAAGATCTCGAAATTTCACACAGTCCTCAATTATCAATCCTATAATTCATATTTCACAAAATTTTTAAATTACATAAAAGTATATGTTTTTATATAAATGTATGAAACTGTAAATGGTGTTGCATTTTTAATCGTAGTATAATATTTATGAACATTATACAACTTATAGAAAAATAATATACAAAATATTAAATTATGAATATATAAATTAATATTTTTATCAAGATAACTTTAAATTTATTATAAATAGAAAATAAAATGTTCAAAATTGCAAACTCAGTTATTATCGTTTGAACTATTGTTTATAAATACTTTTTATATACAAATCATACCTTTTACATTTATACGTATTTTAATACACGTATTAACACACTTAAAAATAATAAAAAATATATGTAATAATTAATCAAAAAATATAGTTTAGTATAATAAACTGTTAATTATAAAAAAAATATTATTTCATGTCATATGTACAATAATTAAATGAAAAAAATACCTGTTCTGGATGTTTTGCAAGATAATCATTTTTAGCATCTCTGATCATCCTTGTTACTTTATTTCTTAAATCCTTAAATTCTTCCCATTCTTTTGCATCTTTATTCTTTTTTGCTTTAGCATACAGCTTATTTTTCTTTTGTATTTCACTTCGAATTTCATCAGTCATCCATGGCTTCTTTAGTTCTAATTCCTAAATAATTATAATGTCTTGTAATCAGAATAATTTCAAAATTTGTACTTTTAATTTTTTTTTTTCATATAACAAAATATTGCATGTATATAATAAAATAAGTTATTTCTCATTATTAATAAACATAGTAAACCTTATTAGAAATTTGTTATTAATAAAAAATCTTAATAATTATATATATAAAATTTTTTCTTTCATCTAATTTATAACGATTAATTTTATATTGATTTATAAATCCATTTTGCTTAAATACTATAATTTGAGATGAATAATTTCAAATACAAAAGAAAAATTCAAGTATAATTCTTAGTCAAAATAGACAATTCTTATTTAGACCTAAATAAATTGTATTTGAATAAGAAAAATAAGTTAATCAATTAAATAAATTCATATCTTCATTCTCATGCTATTACCGCTATCAATTTCACAAAGTAACACATTATTATACGTATAACTCGTGTTTTACAAACGTTAAGAACATTCAAAATTCTATACTTACTTCAAGTTTGCTGACTTTTTTCACATTATTCAGTGCTTTGCCTTTTGCATTGCCATTGCCAATAGAAAATCTTGGTCTCATATGAGATAATATTTGAGGAGGTAATGCTCTCCTGTGCCAAGGCCTCATTAATGGTCCTCTAGGTCCCACACCTCTTAAGCCCATCGGCGGAACCATAGGAGCCATTCCTCTGACTCTTGGACCAAATAGTGGCATAGGTCCACTAGGTCGACTTACTCCTGGTCGTGGTGGTGGTGGTAATCTTTGTCTTATTGGTCCAAAAACAGGATTCATCGGAGGTGGTGGCATTCTTGGTGGTAAACCAGGAGGTGGAAGTCTACCACCGAATCTAGGAGGCGGTGGCGGTATAATAGCGGGTGTACGTATAACTCTTGGCCCTAGCAGAGGTCCTCGATTTAATGGACTCATTGTAATTGTCTTCAATTTGGATCCTTTTCAACTACTTTTATTATTTTACGTAGCTGATAATTAATATATTATAACGTCGAATGCGAAACGTTATTTACGAGGTTAAGACTAACTTCACACACTGTTTATACGCAAAATATGTAATTATATTGTGGCGACACCACAGACAGAAACCTTTTGGTGACGGCCGCGGAATGGCGCGGCACTCGAAATAAAGACGTAACGTTAGAAAGATGAATATAGGCAACCAGAAAGAAGAAATGCCGAACGAACAACGTACAAGATATAAATATTTTATTGTACTGTTAAATCGTATGAATTTTAACAAAATATATTTTCCATTAAACAAATACGAATCTCTCCCTTATCTTTACCGCGAGTACGACAACGATTGAAAAACTTCCTTGTCGATCAATTTCGATTTCATATAGTCGCGCGTGCCGATGACTATAAATAGGTATGGACAATCCTATGCCTGCTACCAGAAATTCATAAGCGGTTTCTCGCTAACAATCGTTCTGCCACCAGTTACGTTAAATAATATACGATCTGGTCTTTTCTATTCTAGTATCTAACGTAGGGGCCTGCTAGGAAGCCTTGTTGACGAGTCTACTAGCTGGCCCCGAAACGAAACACGTTCCTTTACTTTTCAATAGTTATCGTCTTTCCTTCCTTACCGACCAAGCTCGTAAATATGTGTATAAACCTCCACAATATGTTTTTAATACTACCAAATTCAACTTCGATCGTAAAACCAATCACAGTATTACTTGCAATTACAAATATCATATGAATGCTACACTTCTACGCAAATAAACCTTTTATACTGCAAATAACAATCACTTTGCTCGCAGCAGTCACGAATAAGAAACTTTAAGATGTTTAAATCGATTTGAAATTTAGTATCCCAAATATTAGAGAGAAGATACTAGAAAATTGATCTCAATGAAACATTCTGTATAATTTGATATTACATATATAAAAAAGCGTAATTTTTAAAAAATTAGAATATTATTTAATACTTTCTAATTTGTGTTTCTGAAACGAATAACTTAATACTCATTTTCATATTAATATTTATTGTATAATTTGTATTATTGAATCAGAGAAAATAACAAATATAATTTATTTTTCTTTATGATAATTTTTCCATTTTTTGTTCAAATACATTTTTTTTGTTCAAGTATAATTTTTTAGTTGATTGAAATACATTATAAAGAAATTACATAAAAAGGTACATTTACTTAAAATAACTATATTATAAGCCTTGAATATTTTACACGTTTAAAAATAAACAAATTTTAAGAATGTAACAAATTCTTGTGTTAAAAAAATCAGTGTTGCAAATAATATTCTTATTGTATATCTGCCTACATTTAAGGATAATTTTAAAGATGCAAGTTAGTCGTCATTTGTCCGATTGGTATATTTCCGATTTATAAGAGATATGCTCCTCTCATTGGTCTATTTGAGCAACGCTTTTAACGTATCACCAGCTGTTGAAGTTACGTTTGTTTGAAATCAAACGGCAACTGAAGTTTGTTGGTTGCTTGGAGCTCCGAAATTTTGTCTGTCATGTATGGATGGTAAATACACTTTATTGTAACAAGAAGAGGGCATAGTGTTTAAAAAGTAATAATAACTTTAAAAAAAAAAGAAGAATCGATTTATACACAAAGGATTAGGTGAAAAATTAAAACTAAATAATGGCCACGATTCGTGTACACGAGGATCAAGAAAATCGTATTAATGATGTTCGTCGCGGTAAAGAAAATATTCCCGTGCCCCTTCAAAATCAAACATTGCAACCAACAAAACGTGCAGTTTTAGGTGTCCTTCACAATAATTGTAATCGTAATATCAAACCAGTATGTATACATTTCACAATCTTTACTCCCGCGTTTTTCTAAACTGATGAATTCAATACCAATTATTTTTATTATACAGATTACATGATTTTAGAAAATATAATTTCCAAACTTTCTTACGATTCTAAAAATAATAAAATCATTCGTTATCAATGTTAATAGTAAAATATATAATCACGTTTATTTAATTTCGTATAGGAAATATACAAGGATGAAAAATATCCAAAAACAAAAGCAATTATACCTCCACAGTTTGAACCTTTTAAAATTTATGAAAACAAAAAGGAAGAAGTTATATTTAAAATCTATGAAGATAAGTTAGAGGAAGAAACTTCTGTCGCACTTAGAGATACGAAAGACAAGAAAGACATCAAAGAGAAAGAAGATATGAAACTTGAAAGAGAAAAGCCAAGGTTAGAAGTGACTCCTATGACTGTCTCAAATTTACCAACATTTTATAATGCTCTTGAAGATATCAATCAAAAGAAAGAGAATGAAGTAATTTTTTCACAAGGCAGTCCAATGTCTTTAGAAAATTCAATTTCTTATTTGTCTTCCTCAAAGAAAAGTCATCAGAAACGAAGAAAGTCTATGAAAGAATTGAGAATGAATTTTTTCGATGTAGATGAATATAGAGCTGATATATATAATTATTTACGTTCTGCGGAAGTACGTATTTATTTAAAAAAAATTTTTATTTATGAATAATAGCATGTTTGAATGAAATATTTTATTTTAGAAACAACATAGACCAAAACCAGGATATATGAAAAAACAACCTGATATAACATATTCAATGAGATCAATATTAGTGGATTGGCTTGTAGAAGTTGCTGAAGAATATCGGTTACAAACTGAGACGTTGTATTTAGCTGTTTCATACATAGATCGCTTTTTATCATATATGAGTGTTGTAAGAGCAAAACTACAACTTGTAGGTACAGCAGCTATGTTTATTGCAGCGTAAGTTCATTCTATGTATTTATTAATTATATCTAAAATTTCTATTTTTAAAAAAATAATTTGTATTAATAATTTAGGAAATACGAAGAGATTTATCCACCTGATGTAGGCGAATTTGTATATATCACAGATGATACATATACAAAGAAACAAGTATTACGTATGGAGCATTTAATATTGAGGGTTTTATCTTTTGATCTAACTGTCCCAACACCACTTACCTTTCTTATGGAATATTGTATTAATAATAATCTTTCTGAAAAGATTAAATTTTTAGCAATGGTAAATAT